TCTCTCTCACACACACACACACACACACACACACACACACACACACACAGAGGAACAGGTATTAACTGTGTTATCAGTGCTCCGAGTTAGGGACGCAGCGATGCTCGACATCACCTCTTTGAAAACGGCAGTACTCTTCGCTCTATCATCGGACTGCAACTTTGCCACCTCTTTTGCTGCACCTGCACGTGACATAGTCTGCTCGTACTCTTCTTCCATCAATGATGTCCTTCACCTCGGCCATCGCACCAGCACGCGCGATCTTCCGCCGTCTTCCTGCCCCGATTCTTGGTATGGAATGCCACACGGCCCGAAGATCCCGGCGCATCACGCTTGCCCAGAAGAGATCTGCCCTCCTGTTCGTCAGAATCGTCATCAAGGGGAACCCCAGTGTCATCCAAATGCTTCGGATTGGCAGACGACGGGTCGTCGTGACAGCATTTATCAAATGCATCGAACATGGCCCGGCGAGTGATGCTGAAGTCCAACCTGCCTTTCTCTTTCTCCTTGGAGTCCATCTCAAAGTCGTTCTGGGACCCGGACACGTGGCAGTTATGGAATGAAACTCTCTTGTAGCGAGGTAACATGCCCTCATACTTACGCCTTAGCGTCTGTGCAATTCTTGTCGACGCCCCTCGCCTTCAATCGCTGGGAGATGCAGTCCCATTTCTGAGGGATCGGGATTACTCTTCCTGCTGATGCGCAGATTCCGCTCCATTTCTATGTCGTACTCAGCTTTGACATGGATGAGTATGACGCTCTCCTCCTCGTCAGTCCATCGTGCCCCCGACCGCACACTGCCCTGGCCTCCGTTGGTGTCTGTCGAGGGTGCTTCAGGAGCTGCCTGGGCGTTTTTTGCATTTCTGCGGTCTGCTGAGGGTGCTTCAGCAGCAGCTGCGTAACCCGTAACGTGCTTCAGGACATCATCTGCACTGGCCATGAGAGCCAAGAAGGAGTTGGCCATCCTTTGAGCTGGTGTTTTCTCCCTCCCTCGCACCACTCCTCCCCTTCCCTTTGCCATTGCCGCGCCCCGATTTACTCGTCGGGCTGACCTCCACATTCGGTGGCACAGCGGCTGGCACTTCTTCAACCGCAGGCGGCAATTGAACAGGAGCGCCGGTGCCTTGCCCGTGTGGAACTTCCTCCACATTCCATGAGGCTGTAGGTGGTACTTCAGTGCCAGGTGGCACTTGAACAGGACCCCTGCCATAGCCTTGTGGATCTTCCTCTACCACCTGCGTGGTTGGAGACGATTGAGATCGCAGCTCCCGGGAAGCAATCAGAGAACCGCACCTGCGCACGCCACTATCGGCCCGCTCCTGTGCCTGCCTGTGGATGTTTCCTGAGCCAGCGCCGCCATGGATGCGCACGCGCCGCGGTACAGGTAAGCCACACCTCCCCCTCCATGGTCGGAGACTATGGCATGGGGAAAACGAGGAGTGACACTGTGCGATGTGTAGACAGTGTAGCCTCTATCGGCGCGCTCCTGACACCTTCCTGGATGTATCTGGACTCTGGCGGAGTCCAGATGTGTGGATGCTTCTGGACCAATGCCATGGATGGGCACGCGGTTCAGGTTAGCCACACCTCCCCCTGCCGTGGTCGGAGACTATGGCATGGGGAAGAAGACGAGTGTGTGACGTGTCACCACAGGAGTGCGCACTCTGGTGAGTCAGAGACCCAGAACCCCCATTCTGTGTGCGTTGAGCTGTTCGATTCTGATGTCCACGTGGCAGATCCTACATCATCATCATTGCCTCTTCCTCGGCAGTATCCAGGGAGCCTGAGCAGGAGGCCATATACGGCAATGAGGACTTTGATGCACGGATCTGAATCCACGCACGTTGTTGCTCTCCAAAGGATGCACTCGCTTCGCCTGGTAGAGGAAGTAGATGTGGCGGCAGCAGTACACACACACACACACACACACACACAC